GGTTTGAAAGGCTATTTTTTTTTTTTTTTTTTTTTTACATGTCAAACTATTCAGTTTCATGCTGTAATTCTCTTCTCACCACAGGCCATGTCCCCAGATGGTGAAGCCATTGTTACAGGTGCCGGAGATGAAACATTAAGGTTCTGGAATGTTTTTAGCAAAACAAGATCAACAAAGGTAATGTCGGGTGAACAGGAGAAACATGCTAAATCAAGTTGTATTGTTTGATAAACCTAAGGCTGGCTTACACCTATATGTTGCAGTACAGTGCACTACACGTGTTTCACAGTACACCGTGTGATGTGGGAAAAAAGTTGCTGGAACATTTTTTTCCCATTCTGATGTGCTGGCAGGCCATTCAAATAGAATTAAATGCAATGCACCGGAATGAAAAGGTGTTAAGAAGGCCTTTTAGGCTGCAGGTGTGATTACATCTCTTCGCTACTGAGAGATTTAACTACTTGCTGCCCATCATCCCTTTAGTAGCACACCTTCATGTGTGGCAAATTAGATTATTGCCAACAAGCTATTGCTTGATACAAAACTGAGGCATGCTGGGAGTGTGAGGGGTTATACTGGGCTGACCTTACAGCTTTTGTTTGCCAGTGTCCAATCTCCTGTTTGCAGCAGCATCAAAATCCTACAACAAAAAGCACCACTCCTCCACAGCTCGGGAAAGGAATGAGCCGGACGCTTGCTGCTGGGAGCACGTCCTCATCCAATATTGGCCCATACAATGTATGAGCATCAAAATGCTGTCAGGGTTTTATTGTTGACTGTTCCCTGGTGCAGATTTTTCCTCCTTCCTTCCTTCCTTCCTTTTTATATCTGCTAAAAAAGTTGTCTCCAGAACAAAAAGTGATGGAAAATCTCTCTAATGGTTTAACCATAAAACCTGTCAGGGGTTTAAACCTTTCTCCATTCTATCCAAAATTAAATTAAAAAGACTTGGGTATAGATGCACTTTAACCCTTAAAATGCATTTGTTGTTACTATCCCATATCATCCACTTTGTAAATTAAAAGACCATCAGTTTAACACAAACTAGTCATAAGCTAGTGGTTTGGTATTATTCCTTTCTTCGTTATAATATCCTGTCCAGGGATACAGGTGAAACTCGAATAATTAGAATCGCATGCAAAAGTTCATTTATTTCACTAATGCAACTTAAAAGGTGAAACTAATATATGAGATCACACACAGACGGATCCTGGACATGCGCTTTAAATGTCGTATTCCTCTTGTCAAGCCACTCCTGAACAACAAACAACGTCAGAAGCGTCTTACCTGGGCTAAAGACAAACATACCTGCTATGTTGCTCAGTGGTCCAAAGTTCTCTTTTTCTGATGAGAGCAAATTTTGCATCTCATTTGGAAACCAAGTATGGAGGAAGAATGGAGAGGCACACACTGCAAGATGCTTGAAGTCCAGTGTGAAGTTTCCACAGTCTGTGTTGATTTGGGGAGCCATGCCATCTGCTGGTGTTGGTCCACTGTGCTTCATAAAGTCCAGGGTCAACGCAGCCGTCTACCAGGAGATTTTGGAGCACTTCATGCTTCCTTCCGCAGACGAGCTCTATGGCGATGCTGACTTCATTTTCCAGCAGG